GTTTGTTTGTTTGTTTGTTTTGCAAATGAAGGATGTAAAGGTGGGAAAGTTGGGACCTGGTAAAGAAATGTGAGCAAGCTGTGCAAAGGGAACATCCAGCTTACAGTTAAGACCTGATTGAGGCTAGACTGTCAAGGACCTTCCACAGGGTCTCCATCCTCCAGGACAGTGGTTCCAAAAGTGTATCCAAAAAGAAGCCCCCATACTTACCCTTCCTATCAATGATTTATGATATTTTTTAAAGATTTATTTATTTGAGAGAGAGAGAGAAAGAGAGAGAGAGAATAAGCAGAGGGAGGAGCAGAAGGAGAAAATCCCCAAGTCAACTTCCTGCTGAGCGTGGAGCTGGATCAGGGGCTCCATCCCAGGACCTCAAGATCATGACCTGAGCTGAAATAAAGAGTCAGAGGCTTAACCAACTGAGCCACCCAGGCACCCCACTGATATATTCTATCCAATTTTAAACTTCACATTTCATTTATAAAGAATTCTGGCACGGCCCACTGATGGAATTACATACATATCCTGTTAAGAGATCAAGACCCACAGTCGGTAAACACTGCTCTCATGAAATTCATGAACATGTGTGAGTGGAGTAATAGAGTAGGGCTTCAGGAAAATGAACTGGACTGTTTGTAGAGGGTGACTAAAGGGGAGGAGACAGGGAAATGTAGCTTGGGTGGTTATTGTGGATACCGGGAAAAACAGTTGTTGAATTAATGAATATAAAGAGAGTAAGAGCATTGCAAAACATGTTGAGAGGGAATTAGAGAATGATCTAAGAGCGATAAGAGGGGAAATGAAGAAATGCATGCAAGACATACATGGAAGACCAAATAAGATTTTTAAAAATTTTTTTTTTAATTTTTATTTATTTATTTATGATAGTCACAGAGAGAGAGAGAGAGAGAGAGAGAGAGAGAGAGAGAGAGAGGCAGAGACACAGGCAGGGGGAGAAGCAGGCTCCATGCACCGTGAGCCCGATGTGGGATTCGATCCCGGGTCTCCAGGATCGCGCCCCGGGCCAAAGGCAGGCGCTAAACCACTGCGCCACCCAGGGCTCCCCAAATAAGATTTTTAAAAAAATCCATCAATGTATATGTACTTATGCATGTATAAGTATTGAATTAGTTATAAATAAAATCAGAGAAACTATATGAAATACTTGCCTTAAAAACTTTTTGAAGTAGTATAAGCAAATCTAAGCTACTCAAAACTAAGCTAACAAGTAATGCAATGGAAAAATTCATACTGTCTCAGGAGTAAAGGAAAGTAATATTGGTTTAGCATCTACTAAGAGCCAGGCATTAATATGTGCAGTTTCTTGCTTAATCCTCACAACCCTGTCAAACAAATATTGATGTCCTTATCCTACGAATAAGGAAACTGAGGCTCAGAGAGGTTTAGTTTTTTCCAAATCTGAAGAGTTAGAGCAAAAGCAGACATCCGGGCCCAGGTGTGTCTGATTCCAAAGCTTAGGCTTTATTGGTGTATTTCAATTATGAAAAAAAGATGTTACAATTATTTTTTAAAAGAATAAGGTGTATTTCATTTCAGTACACAGCACAACTTTTCAAACCAACTTGTAGGCTTAAAGAAACTCTTTATAATCTGCCTTTGACTATTTGTAGAGGAGAAACAAAGATTTATAATTTAAATGACAGGTAATCCTTCAAAAATAAAATTTTATTTAGTTTTTAAATTGCTGTGGTAGTTATAATTGGATGCAGGAGCCAAATATTATAAAAACTTTAATTAAAAGATAATAGGAAAGCTATCTCAGGAACAGATGGGAAATTGTTCTTGTCTTTAATCATTCTCTTCTCCAACTGATTCCACATGGGGAACAAGCAAATTATTTATCATATTAACACAAAATACCAACATGAGAGGTGCTAGAAACTTTACCCAGAGCTTGGATTTCAATGGAAAGGCAAGAGATTAAATGTTAAACATGGCTAAAAACTGAAGTAGCAATTTCAAGGGAAAAAAATGAATAGCAAAAGGCAAATTGTAATTAACTGCTCAAATTTTTATTAATATCTTTATGTCAGGTCATTTTCAAGTTGGATGCTTTAGGAACTAAGGAAAATATCATGTTTTTTTTGAGAAATGAAGAACTTTGCCTTTTATTTTGTAAAATGTCTTCATGTATCTAACTTTTTTAAAAAATATATTTTATTTATTCATGAGAGACACAGAGAGAGAGAGAGAGAGAGAGGCAGAGACACAGGCAGAGGGAGAAGCAGGCTCCATGCAGGGAGCCCGAAACAGGACTTGATCCTGGGACCTTGGGATCATGCCCCAGGCCGAAGGCAGGTGCTAAACCGCTGAGCCACCCAGGGATCCCCTCTAACTTTTATATAGAAACTTAATTTCCTAAAGATCACATGGGCAGTTTATTGTTTGGTTCTGGGTTCCAAAGACAAACACTATGAATAACCCTTTGAAACAAACAAACAAACAACAACTGAACAGTTCAGTTCCTATGGACAAGCAAAGAGATATTTTGCTTTGATGTTGGGGACAAACCCCTATCTGTAGATGGTGTACCAGCTCAGGCATTTTCTTCTGGTGTAGCTGCAGAGTTTGATGAACCCCCACCTACGTCTTTTCTCAAAAGCAATTTTCTCAGCAATCTAGAAGACATTGGTTTCTATACCCCAGGTCCCACAGACTGAAATTAAAGCTTGGAACCTCTTACTAAATGTAGCACTAGTCATCAATTTAAATGGGGCTCCTGGGTGGCTCAGTCGGTGAAGTGTGACGACTCTTGATTTCAGCTCAGGTCGCAATCTCAGAGTTATGAGATCGAGCCCTGAGTTGGGCTCCACCCTGGGCATGGAGCCTGCTTAAGATGGTCTCTTTCCTTCTGTCCCTACCCACCCTCCCACTGTGCATGTGCTCTCTCTTAAAGAAATAAATAAAGAAGTGTACTACCAGGATGACAAGAAACAGAAGTGCCTCAGAAGCAATTTCTAGGCACATATGCACCCCTTAGAAGCCTTTTCAGGGATAACGTGTTTCCAACCAATAAAGCTCTCTTAGATATATTCCCCTTGCTATAGAGGCTTCTAGGAACATCTGATCTTCCAAATTTGGATAGCTCTAAGGTGAGACATATCAAATGTTCTATTGGTAATAAATCTCCCTCAGAATTTCCATTGTTCTGACAGTCATGTCTGCTGATTTGGCTGTGAGGAAACTCATGGGGTGGCTGATTTACAAAATTAATTGAATGGTGCTAAACTTTTAGCCAAGCAGGACACACATATCAATTTTAGATTAATCTTAAAAGACGTTTATTCTTGTAGGATATCACTGTGATTGTGCATACAGCTCAAAAGAATAATAATTTGCTGTATCCAAGACCTTTGAGGGGAAATTCTTTGTATTTGTGACATACATAAATACACTGTCATGCATTATTTATCATACATATAAGATTAAGTATAAGTAATTACAAATGCATCTAATTTTTTCTATAACTCCATCTGAACTTTCAGAAATCATTAAAGGAAAATATTTCTGACCTTTGTTAAAGATGGTAAGGAAGACTTTATTCACCCAATGGTTGCAATGGGGTTTTATAGCAGGGGAGAGGGTTGGGCCTCCATTCTGAAGACAACAAGGAAAGTGGGAATTGACAGCCAAGGAACAGGGCTAGTGTTGGAACAATGGAAATTCTGAGGGAGATTTATTACCAATAGAACATTTGATGTGTCTCACCTTAGAGCTATCCAAATTCGGAAGATCAGATGTTTCTAGAAGCCTCTATAGTAAGGGGAATATATCTAAGAGAGCTTTATCCATTGGAAACATATCATCCCTGAAAAGGCTTCTAAAGGGCACATATGTGCCTAGAAATTGCTGCTGAGGCACTTCTGTTTCTTGTCATCCTGGTAGTATACTTCTTCATTTATTTCTTTGAGAGAGAGAGAGAGAGAGAGAGAGAGAGGGCGAACGAGCACATGCAAGGTGGGAGGGTGGGTAGGGACAGAAGGAGAGAGAGAATCTTAAGCAGGCTCCATGCCCAGGGTGGAGCCCAACTGGGGGCTCGATCTCATGACCATTATTGGAGGGAAATTTTCTTTTTTTTTTTTTTAAGATTTTATTTTTACGTATCCATTCATGAGAGACACACACAGAGAGAGGCAGAGACACCGGCGTTGGGAGAAGCAGGCTCCCTGCGGCGAGCCTGTTGGGGGACTCATTCCAAGGTCCCCGGGCTCAAGACCAAGACTCTCAACCACTGAGCCACTCAGGCAACCCGGATGGAAAATTTCTAAATGGAAGCATCAGGGCTACGGGGATACTGGCTAAACCGACCTGAAGGATTCTTGCAGAAAGCAGGCCAGGGGTAGCAGAGGCCAAGGGTACAGGGATGTGGAGTTGGATCCATGGGCGGGGGAGGAGGTTTCCCCTTAAACAGCCCCAGCAGGATTCTTGCTAAAACTGGAGCTGGGTAAGGACTGAGCCCAAGTTCTGCTCCTCCAGGAGAAGAGGACTCAAAGGAGCCTCACTGGGCTTTGCACAAGGCTTTGTCAAGCTACATTTAAAAATAATCACCTGGAAGGAAAACCTGACCGGAACACAAAGCTCATCAGAGAGTCCCCTCTCAGCACAACGTGGAGACAGGGGTCAGCCTCACTGTGAGCTGGGCCACCGCTCACAAGGACAGCGCCTGAATCGCCCCTGGAACCAGCTCTCTTTAGAAGAAAAGCAGGAAGGAAGAGAATTCCCCTGCGGTCAAGCCTCCTGCTCGCTTTCCTCCTGCTCGTCCAGGAAGCCCCAGCTCAGGCCGCGGCCTCGGGGCTCCGGGGCTCGCCCCGCCCCCCGGGAGGCCCCGCGCCTGCGCACGTCCCCGCCTCACCCGCCGGCAGGGGGCGGGCCGCGGCTGTCGGTGCTACGCGGCGGGGCTCCCGGGGCCCCTCTTGCCCCCGCCTTTGCCCCCGGGCTCCCGCCTGGATACGCTTCCTTAGCAACCGGTTGCCCTGGGCAACCGGAGGACGCGGGGCCGTCGGCCGGGTTTCCCGCGCGTTCCTTCGCCTGCTTACGCGGCGGCGCGGGCCGGGCCATGTCGGAGATTCTGTGCCAGTGGCTCAACCAGGAGGTGAAGGTGTCCCGGACCGTGAGTGAGTGACCCGGCCCGCGGCCCCGGGGCGCAGAGCCCCGAGCGCGGGGGGCGAGGGAAGGTGGCGGGAAGGCGTCCCCGGCGGGCGGCCCAGCCTCTGACCTACTGTGCGGCCCTAAGCGAGCCGAGGGGTCAGGGAGCGGAGTTTGCCGGACCCCGCAGTCTGGCCTCACAGTGTTCCCTTCCCACCTTAGAAGCGTGGTCTTGGCGGGATGAGCACTGGGGGGTTATGCTCTATGTTGGCAAATTGAACTCCAATTAAAAAAAAAAAAAAAGCATGGTGGGTTTGCAGGCCAAGGAGCTCTGAAGCCTTAAAGCCAGGTAGGGCACGACTGGGTATGCGGCCCGGGACGAATTACAGCACCTTCTGCGGGGGGGGGGGGGGGGGGAGGCTCTTTCCTGCAGCATAAAATAGATCGGATCGTACTTTCCCTACCTAATGACCTTGGAGGGGGAGGGGGAGCAAGTTAACGCAGAGTAGGTTAGCATTTACCAATTGTAGCAGTTGTAGCTCAGAATTTACAAACATTAGCTATTTCCGACCACTCCTGACTCTTGGCTAAAGCTGACCTTTAGTCCCTAATCCGATTTTATCCCAGCCGTGAAGTAGCCATCCAAAGTGTCTGACTCCCACCACCGCAGGGGCAATTGTACGCGCTGGCGGTTCCTAGGACAGCCAAGGGATTCCAACAGAGCACTCTCCACTCTCCTCCAGCTCCGCTTCTTTCTGTGGTTTCTTCAGCACTTCCTTTTCCAGCTGGTATGGTTTTTGCTCAAGGCAAGAGGTTTTTCAGCCCAAATCATTTCAGTCTGTTTTCGCAGAAGCACCCTTGCATAATGCCAAGTTGCTACCAGAAGGACAATAGTGCCAACCCGACCTCAGGTCAACCGTGGATTTGCTGGACCAGAAGTGTTTCTGAAGCAGCAAGATGTTCGTTCATTATCAGCATTACGCTCTTTATTGTTGGAGCACCTCCAGTTGCATTTCCTGAGGCATAAACCCTAGACTCTTTGCCAAACCATACTCCACACGCTCCCTGGGAACCGCCATATATTCTTTCATATAATTCTATGATCATCCCATTTTGTCCCTGTTTCTCACCTAAAACATCCCGATCAGCATTTCAGCACGATGTTTAGCATTTCTCTAATTCCTTTTTTTTAAATTCCTTTTTTACCATAGTAGCCAAAGTGCAATATAATTTTAAGTTATGATCTTCCAAATAAAAACAGTTACAGATTGCTGAGTTTAATTTGATTCATTTACTTGATTAGTAATACCCAGACCCTTTGGTCAAGTCCCTTAGACTCTATTGCATATTGAAACACTTTTGAAAAAAGTAAATAAAATTAATAAGAAACATAACACCAGTACTGTGCCATTATAATTATAATAGTTGTAATTATAATTTTAACCAGTGTTTTGGAATTCGGGTTTTGAGAGGAAGTATTAACTCTTTCTGTGAAGATTGAAAGACTGGAGACATTTTAAGTAAGAATTTTAATGACATAAACTATGAATGGAGAATTCCCATGTCTGCTTCCCTGAAGCTGTTAGCAGAGATGGCTGCAATATTCTGCATCCCATTCATTTGGAATACATATTTATTTCTTGACCCTACCAGCTTGCTGGAGTTGGAAGAGATAGTCCCTGATGTAACCACATCCATATTGTAAAAGGCCTTTCAGGTTATAGGAAACACACTCAAATGTGTTTGGAAACAAGCAAGATAGGATCTGTGTGCCTGAGGAAGCACACAGCCAATTGTTGATTCTGGTCATTAGCTAAGACATTTTGTGGTGTGTAGTGGAAGGCTTGGAATGGCTTATAGGAACTATCATGGAAGGACTGTAAGTGACTACAACCTCTAGAGAATGATCTTGGGCAATTTATTTACCTAAATTTCATGATACTCAAAATAGGAATAATAATAATAGTTCATTGAGTTGTGTCAAGATTAAATGAGATAATAAATGTAAAGCATTTAGAATAATGCTTCATACATAATAAATGCTAAACCTCAGTTTTCAGAAACTGTCATACTACAATAAAATCACCAGTATGTCAGGATATTTGAACAAGGACGTTTATTGCTACATGAATTGTAAGGACAAAATAAAAAAAAAAAAAAAGGAAAACAATCTGAATATCTTTCAATAGTGGCATACTTGGATAAATGATGCTGTATTCATGCCGTGGATGTTATACAGTTGTTAGAAAGAATGAGTTAATGCTATAACTTTTGACCTACAGGATATTCATGTTCTTTGTCAAGTAAAAAATAAAAGTTACAGTTTATTGTGATGAGTATAATTCCATTTTTGTACCAACTAGGAAATACAGATACACATACGCTCAGACACAAAAACACATTGATCTATCTGTTTATATTAGTACAGAGAAATATGTGAAGGGTCGTATACTAGACTATTGACATATACATGAATCTTCATATTGTTTGTTTTTGTAAGCATAGGGAAAAGTGTGAAAGGATATAAACTAGTGTATTGATATTGATTACCTTGGGTATGGAGAGGATTGCTGGCTTTTCTTTATACATTGGTGCTGCTTGGCTTGTTGCTTGTATTGCCTTCCTAATTTGAAAGGAAAATTCAACATAGGATTGCAAATAGAAAATCAAAAAAGATCAAACTTCATATGACAAAACAGGAGAAAAGGATGTTTACCATCTTTTAATTGAAATTAGTAAGCATCATATAATGAAGTATTAGGGAGGATTACATAAGAATTATTTTCTTAGATGAATTTTGTAGATGAAAAAAAATAGTAAATAATAATAAAAAGTTTTATTAGACACTTAGGCAATTATACTAGTGCTAAGCCCTTTATGGGTTTTTATTTGTTTGTTTTTGAATTCTAAAAAAAAGGCCCTAGAGGCATTGTCCTAGCTGTAAAGATGAGTAAAAGAAGCTGACATGCTTGGTTATTTGTTCAGGCTCACAACACTAGTGGATCCTAGAGCTAGAATTTGACTTATGCTCTTAGGCACCATGTTGTATATTGCAATTTATAGTGAGGGAATATATTTTTAAAAAACTCAACTCTCTCAATTGTATTCATCTGAGCTCATTTTATAGGATTACTGTTTAGTTTGAAGTTATAAGAAGTACACAAATTCAACCACCCAGGCATGTTGTAACCTAATTCCTAGATGGTAAATGGCAAAGATGGATTTATTAGTGTTTGTTTCAAAATGGTTCGGTCCTGTACTGCTTGCTAGGACGAAGAAAACAATGAGAATGCTAGGTGAGTGCATTTACACTGTCTTGATGAGGCCAAATAATTGTTCAGTCATTGGCAAGGCAGCTAAAGCCGATTGATTTCTGCATTATTCTGAACAGTAGTAGTCAAATTGGATAAAGCATGCTATATTGAATTTCATGTTGCCTGGACTATCCTGAATATCAGCAGTAAAGAAAATAAATTCCAATGATCCTCAATTGAGAACCATCTCCCTCCACTTAATGAGGTTTCTGGGAGTCACCCGAGACTTGATTAGTCTCAACATATGAAGATTCAAAGCTTTGTTAGCAAAGCTAAGGATCTCCAGTGAGTTTAATTTAACTAGACCATATCTTCTAGAGAATAATGCTTATTAGATGTATATGATAATAAAATGTCTTAGAATACAAAAAGTTGCTCAACACAAAATTACATCGAAAATTCAAGCAGTTTTTTTTCAAGTATTTGTTTCTATAATGAAAAATAAGTAATATAGACTAATGTTACTAAAAGATTTGTTGTAAAATTCTAAAGGAACTCCTTGTTATTTTAAGAAATAAGCATTGCTTCTGTTTTCTGAACCTCCTTAATGAATTTACTACATAAGGAAACTAGCTTTGGAATGTCATAACTGAACATTCTCCTAAGTGAGTGGAAACTTGTATTCTCTGCATTGTACAGATCAGATCTTTTGTAAACACGGGTATATACAAGGTAGTCCATATTCTTTTGGATCCTGGATTAGGATATATTGAAAATTGTAAGTACCTTTTAATTGTTTCAATGATCTCAGGGTCCTGGAATCCAGCCCCACTCCCTGCTCAGTGGGGAGTCTGCTTCTCCCTCTCCCTCTGCTGCTCCCCTTGCTTGTACTCTTTTGCCTGCTCTCTCTCTGGCAAATAAATTAAGAAAATATTTTTAAAATAATCCTAAACATTGTTATCAATAGTAACAGAGGTGTAATAAAGAGAAAATTGGATTTGGGACAGTTAAGTTTCTCTATCAATTTTATAGCATCTGAAATATAAATAATTCTCTCTAGGTCTGCATTTCATGCCCAGAGAAGTAAGAATAATAATGGTTCTACTTCCAGTTATGGGGTAAATGAGTCATGAGATGAAAGGTACACCATAGGGAAAATAGTCAATAGAATTTAATAGTGTTATGTGGTGACAGATGGTAACTATACTTGGGATGAGTACAGCATAAGATACAGAGTTGTCAGATCATTATGTTGTGCACCTGAAACTAATGTAACATTGTGTGTCAACTATACTTCAGTTGAAAAATGGTAAAAAAAATTCTTTATATTTGGGAGGATATGAAATGAAATTGGAAATGGAAAACACCTACCACAATGCCTAACATCTATACTAGATCTAGTTACTCAATAAATATTATTTTACTTTTTTTCTGCCTCTTATTTAGGATAATGACTACTATCATGCCTATCCTATAAGAAGCATGTTTTAGCTACTTGTTTATTACATGAGAGTATACCAGTGAGGCAAAAGTAAAGTATTATTTTAGGTTGAATCTTATGAATTTGTTCATCTTGAGAAGGTTACCCTGGGTAATTTGATCCTCATCTTTGTGATTTCAGAAGTTCTGTTTTATTACTTTGAGCAGTTTTTTAGAAATTGTTTCATACTAACTGAGATTACATTTTGATTTTATAAATCAAGGTACCAGTTTATCCTGAAGAAAAAGAGCAAAATAACTTATACTGGCAATTGTACATGATGCATCATTTTGAT